CTGGCGTTGGTTTCGCAATAAGCGCTAGAGCTGAGGCAGCACCAGTCGACTGGATCCCCATTAATAGTCGGTTGTGTGCTGTTAGATTAGAAGGTTCCATCAAAGTGAGAAGAAATTGGCGTGAGAAACGATGTTTTTTCGTCATCTCCGCCTATACCCCGACAGATCTCAGCCCGGATGCAATCAAGGATGAATTCTACCACCAGTTAACTGTTCTTCTTCAGAAAGTGCGTTCCACAGATATTGTAGTACTAGCCGGAAACTTGAATGCTCAGGTCGGGCGTCTAGGCACAGAAGAGAGTCGTTTAGGTGGCCGATGAGGGCTTGTTGGTTGCAGGACAGATAACGGGGACCGTCTACTGCAACTGAGCACAGACCACAACCTGTTTCTGGCTAGCACTAACTTTCGGCACAGTCATCGCCGATGTACCACCTGGCGTCCTCCCTCTGCATCTCAAGCTTGGATTCAGATTGATCACATCGCGATCAGCTACCGCTGGCGTGGTTGTGTACAAGACTGCCGCTCCTTTTGGAGTACCCATCTGGACTATGATCATGTCCTGGTCTGCGCCAATCTTACCTTACTTTTCAGTGGACAACGAAGTGATCGCCACCGAAGGGTTGATGTCAGCAAGTTGGTTGCAACTTCTGTTGGAAGTAAGTATCGAACCGAGCTAGCTTCTAGGCTAGCTACCATTCCACCGAAAAGTATAGATGAGCATTGGTTGCAATTGCATGACGCCATGAAAATGGCGAATAAAGTCAGTTGTGGGTTCGCGAAACGTCCCGCTTACAATTACTGGGTTTCTTCAGGCTCCTCCAGGTGACCGTGAGTTTTACCAGAAACGAAGGATGTTACGTAATGAAGTCGGGAGAAGCTTGCGTAAGGACCGAGAAGCCCGGTGGTCGGAGCGTGCTAATGAGCTGGAAGCAGCAGCTGCATCTGGTAACTACCGGAAGCTCTTCCAACTCATCCGAGCCACTGGCAGCAAGAAGTCTGGTGTGAGTGAAACAATCTGCGAGGATGATGGGATGCCAATCACTAACATCCATCGACGTCTTGGACGATGGGCGGAATTCTTCGAAGGACAGTTCAACTAGCCTGCTGCTCCGGCAACATCGATCAGACTGTCCTGCTCCCCATGGCCGATGACGGCTGATCAACCGAATGAGGCGGAAGTCTGCAATGAACTGAAACTCTTGAAGCGCTACAAATCACCAGGCCCAGATGACTTACCTCCGGCTCTTTTTAAAAATGGTGGTGACCTTCTGATTAAAGAACTGACAGTGTTGTTTACAAAGGTCTGGGAACTAGAGAGTGTACCAACGTCATGGAATGAGTCGATAGTTGTCCCTATCTTTAAAAAGGGTTCACGTCGTTCCTGTAACAACTATCGAGGGATAAGTCTACTTCCGATTGCGTCCAAGCTATTGGCTTCCGTCATTCTTCGTAGGTTGTTCAAAACTCGAGAAAGATTGACTCGCGAGGAGCAGGCTGGGTTTTGTTCTGGTCGAGGATGTATTGATCATATCTTCACCCTCCGCCAAATGTTAGAAACACCGCCATACTTATCAAAGGCCAACAATCGTAGTGTTTCTTGACATCAGGGCTGCCTTCGATTCGTTGGACAGGACTGTTCTCTGTGACTGTCTATTGAAGAAGGGTGTGACTGAGAAGTTTATCAACATATTAAAAGCCCTATATACAAACACCTCGGGTAGAGTTATGACATACGACCACCTCTCTTCACTGTTCCATTCAAGCAGTCGGGTTAGACAGGGTGCCCAACCTCACCATTCCTCTCCAACTTTGCCATCGATGACATTCTGGAAACAGCTCTGATGGATATAGGTAATAGTGGTGTGGATCTGTTGCCTGAAGAAAGACTTCTCGACTTTGAGTATGCGGATGATATTGTCTTACTGTGTGATAACACCCAAGCCATGCAATTCTCAATTAATCAGTTGGCAATCAGTGTCCGTAAGTATGGTATGTACTTTGCACCTTCGAAGTGCAATGCACGTATAGTGAAAGCCAGAGCGGTTTATGCCAATCTGGGCCATTTTTGGCGCCTTCGTGATGTTAGTCTGGCTGTGAAAGGTCGGATCTACAACGCGTCGGTGAGAGCAGTTTTGCTCTATACTTGTGAAACCTGGCTTCTCCGAGTTGAGGATTTTAGACGACTCTGTGTTTGATCATCGTTGTCTCCGAAGGATTGCTGACATCCAGTGTCAACACTATGTTAGTAATGCAGAGCTTCGGCATCGTGTGTTCGGGCGCAGAGACGATAATTCAATTGGTGTCACCATCTTGAAACATCGACTTCGGTGGCTTGGACATGTTCTACGAATGTCATCCCAGAGAATTCCACGTCGTGCATTATTTGCCGACGCTGGGACTTGTTGGAAAACGCGGAGGTGGTCAGTGTATGACATGGTGTCGGGGTATGAAAGAAAGCTGCACGGGACTGGCTTGTGTTGGTCCTTCACGACTCCCTGGCTGGTGCGACACAGAGGCTAGAGACGTTATCAGATATGGCCCAGAATAGAAACCAGTGGCGATCCTGCTGTAACCTTTTACTTTCTTTATAAAAAGTGGTTGTATCTTCCTTAACTGAAAGATTTTTTTCTGGTTCTACCCTTCCGTTCCCCCCCCCCCATTACTATTATTATTATACTACCTTACACTAATCTGGTCGTTATTGTTTTTTCTTCTTTTGCGCTCCTTACCTTCTTTTTTTCTCTCCCCATTCTCATTGTTCGTGTGGCGCATATATATTTGGTGTCCTCTTGTACCAATATTTGTGTTCAAATAAATAAATAAATAAGTGTCAGTTCAAGATGTCATACCACATTAACTCAGAAGAATAAAATTACCAAGACAAATTCCAGAGCAGTATAAGTAGTGACAGTAAAGGTGGATTACACGTAGCACAAAAACGATGAACGATCTTAAAAACGAATTCATAATTTATCCGACCCATTGACTTACCAATATTCACAGGAGAAAACAAAGTAATAAGTTTCAGGATACGAATAAAAAGTAGTTTCCAATAAATTACTACCGAAACGTCGCTTTAATTATTTATTACTACGTTAAGTAAAGAGCTTTTGCTACAATACACAAATGTAATTGACTTCTTCCCATCAACCTCGGATAACGTTTTTGTCTCAACACATAGTATATTTTAAAATTAACTTATTAGTCTGAAATCCAGGTTTAGAATAGCATACCTTGAATCTCTTATCCGAAAGATTAGGTAACGATAAGGCTTGATCGAAACATTATTAGCTTGAATTAAGCAAATAAGGTTTCGATTTAACTTGAAACCACAACGAACAATAATAGACGAGAGAATAAAAACAGAAACTGGTGGTTGGAAAATACGTAAACAAAAGGAAAATAGAATGAACAACAAGCAAAAGTAAGCCCCTCACTTTTTTAGCATCTAACACAACTGAGAATCTCGAGAACATTTAAACGATTATTGTTAGTAAACCTGATTATATCTATAGTTATCTATGCTTACAACTCCCATAAAACGTTAAAAAACAGGTCGGGAATACTTTGGTTTCTGGTGTAACGTCTAGTGCAGCTAGGTAAGGAAACGATAAAACTCACAAATGACAACATAAGAGTGCTTTTAAAATCTCACAAGTTTGTTCGTTTTCCATTGCCAGACGTACCAAAAGTTGTAATTAATGAAACATTTTTGCTAAAATTTTACATAGAAAATTATTTACTTGGTTGCTATTTTGCTGAACTTCACCGACTAACCTGTTTTAGTAACAATACTTTTCGCAGCTTGATATATAACATTGTCGTTTTCATCGATATTATTAGTGTCTTTATCTATTGCTCATATTTCATTTTTCTGAAGGAGTTCATTAGTAGTTTACTTATTTCATAAAATTTGTCAGACAGTGGTTCTACCTTTATTTTCAGTCACAAAATATCCTTAAATTCACATATTGATTGTCCTTATAACCTTGTCTCAAATATGTTAACTGACATACATGTTCTGTATTTGTTAGTTAAGCTCATTTTGAATAGGCTTGTACGAGTAGTAACAAGAAAGAAAGACAAACATTTATCGTAATTCCGGAAAAAGTTGGATGAATTGAGAGACCCCTATCGCCAAGACTAACACAGACCACCCAGACTCATGTCCTTCCTAAACTGAAATATAAAATCCAGAAACAACATGAATCAGTAGCATTGAAACGGGAAACAAGAGGTATTACAGTAACTTTTTGAGCTGGGGACTGATATTTATGATTTCAATCATACTAAATATGAGGGCTGACAAGCTTTTATACGTTTAAAAATTACCGACGTAAATTTCCGGAAAGTAGATGTCTCATGTATTTGTATTTTATAGTAGTGAACACATCTATTATCAGTAACTAATATTACATAGCGCCTAAGTTATCAATACATGTAGAAATAAACCTGTAAGGAGTATGGATCTACACTTAAATATTAGTGTTCGCTAGTGAGAAAAAGGACCTTGAAAAGTTGAGGCTTTGAAAACTGGGATAGCATCATTAAATTGGGTAATAAATCTTCCCGTAGTATCTGGTTTAAAATACATTGACTGTTAGTAGCTAGAAAAGGTACACACATGATAAAAATATCCAAAGGAAACAATGTGTCGAAAACCCCTAGAATACTTTTAATAGTCAAGTGAGTGATATCATATAAGATGTTCGACACCTGAAAGCTTGTGCAAAGCGAACATATAAGTTAAAACGAATCAAGTGGTTTACTGACTTGAAAGACACTGTGACCACTAAACTTGACAAATGAGGATAGTGAGAACATACTTCTAAGACCATGACATATGTAAGAGTCTACACCGTACATGATCACGGATGATAAAATCGGCTTTAGCACTTTGAGCGAGATCATATTTGCACATCATAATGCTGAAATTATATCAATAAACAATAAATAGATAGAAAGCACCAATCTACATTGTCTCAACATGATAACTCACCACTCTTTGATCTTTTGAGAAAGCCAGTGCTATAAAGCCTGTAACTTTTTGAACATTCCCTCTAAGCTCAAATTCCACGTAATTTTCAGACTTCACGGACACCAACTTCCAGGTGACAAGAAATGCACAAGATGACTCGGTACACATAGCAGGTCTCAAGCATCCCTTTGTTAAAGCACACTCGTGTAATGTAATGTCTGGAAAAATGGCGTTGGCAAAGGTAGCTGACAAAGCCAAGTTAACAAGAACTGTAACCAGAAGGAACATGACTATGTACCAAACAACATCAATCGCTGCGCTCTATGCAAGGACAGAATGTTGTTAAAGTAATTGAATGGGTTTAACAAACTTCAGTTATAAGTATAGGAAGCCTATCGACCTATATTAATCCTTGCAATTTGTATTACTGTGGAGGTCTAATCTCATTTTGAATATATTAACGGAAGGTGCTGATATTACGTGTTCCGGTAGAGAATTCCAGTAAATCACTGCTCGATGCGAGAAACGAAAATCTAGATGTAAACGATTTGATTTCGGTTTTCGAACTTTCTTCGAATGTCCTCTTAAATGATCAGTCCTAGATGGAATTAAAAGATAATACATGTTAGTACCAATGTCATCGTTCAATATGCGATAAGCCAATATTAGATCACCCCGTATTCTACGGTAAGATAACGGAAATAAGTTAAGGTGTCTCAGCCTGTCTTCATAAGATAGGCCAGATAGACCTTTTACCATCTTAGTACCTCGTCGTTGGACTCCTTCATACTTAAAGCAAGGACTCTGCTTGAATCCCATATTCTAAATATGGTCGCACGTAAATTGAGAATAATAATCTAAACATTTCATCGTCTAAATACTGGAAAGACCTGCGATTAGACCACAATAGCCAATAGCTTTTCTCAGCAGCAGCCTTACTGTGATTAGTGGTTTTGAGACCACTGCTTATTATGACTCCTAAATCTTTATGGTTTCTTACTTTGGGTAGCACGAATCCACATATTGTATAGTGATACGATTCATCATAGTTATTTATTTGCATCACTACACTCTTATTAGGATTTACTTCTAGTGACCACCTGTCCAACCATGCCACCAATGAGCTAAGATTATTCTGTGATCTTATCCTATCCGACATACTGTGTATGGGTCTCAAAATTTTTATGTCATCAGCGAAGAGTAAAACGAATGGTTTTGCTATAGTTGGTAATTCACTTACATAAAGTAAAAAGAGAAGAGAACCGAGTATTGTACCCTGAGGAACTCCACCTTTTACAGTTACCCACGAGGAGAGAGCCCCATTTACCCTTACCCTTTGTCTCCTGTCACGGAGAAAGTTACTTATCAAATCTACGACTGTATAATGAATTCCAAAACGTTCCAGTTTGAATTTAAGACCACAGTGGGAGACTTTATCGAAGGCCGTACTTAGATCTATGAAGATCACATCCACAGGAATATTCCAATCGTTTGCAGCAGCACAATCTTCTCTTGCAATGAGATTTGTCAAGCATGATACGTCTTTCCGAAAACCATGTTGTGCCCGAGAGAAAAGATTATGCCCTTCAACACAGTTTATAACAAATATCCCAATGATTTTTCCCATCAGTTTTACAACTGCACCAGTTAGGCTAACGAGCCTATAGTTAATAACTAAATCCCTACTCCCGGCCTTATGCACCGGACTTGTTATAGCGTCTTTCCAGTCTCTTGGCAGTCTGGACCGCCTCAGAGACATGTCAAGCAGTATCGCTAATGGTTCAGCAATTACATCTGATATGGCTTCCATAATCCTAGGATGAACACCATCAGGACCACTGGGCTTATCACGTTTGAGATGCTGAAGTAGCCTTAAAACAGTACCTTTCTCAATGACTAAAGGGTCCAACAGCGAGCCGCCGCGATTACAATTAATCGTTGGTCGTTCCTCATTACCGATAGAAAACACTTAAATGATAAAGCTTCAGCTTTCTGCCAAGATTAACGGATCTTCTTGAATCAAAAGTGATGGAATTCCATAGCTTCTCTGAGTTTGCCTTTTTAAATACAAGAATAACCGTTTCGGACTATATCTAGAATCCCTAACCAATTGTTTTTCATATGATCGTCTAGTCCTACTTATTAACGCTTTACAGGCATTCCTAATCTTACAGTAACTGGATCTGTATTGTTCTAAGCCAGTAGAGATGAACATACTCCAGTGCTTCTTCCTTTTTATAAGAAGTTTCCTGACTGTCTCAGTTATTCATGATGGACTTTTATTCGGTCTTCGCGGTACCAGGTAGGGTATGAACGAGGACGTAAATAAACTCAACTTACCTTCAAATACAGACCATGCTCCTTCAACTGACAAGCTAGTATCTACAAACCAATTTGTCTTAGCATCGCATTCCTGAATGACTGATATGTTAGCTTTCCATACATTTGGGCGGGGTGTGACCTGATCGTATAACATGTCCCTAGTTCTAAACGTGAATGACAGAACAGCGTGATCGCTGTTCACTAACGGTGGAAGAAATACAATTATTTAAACCACCAGGATGGGGCCTACAGTCATTCATAATAAAGTTACATAACTAATTAATAAATACTCGGAAAACTAACTTGACTTAATGGTAGATCCACTTCGATTTCAGTTTCATTTTAGAAGGGACGGGAGATTACGTGGCCCATGTTTGTCTTAGTAATGATGATTTCTCAGTTCATTCAACTCTCCTCTGAATGCGTCAACGGGTGGAGCCTTGATTATATTTAAAGGATAATGGTTCCATCCGTTAATGATTTGATGACAGAATCGTTAATCAATAAACAGGTAATTTGTCTTGAAGTCGTGAACATTCCCCGTGTTCTCGCAAATTCTTCATCCTAAAAGACAGGAAATATAAAGGTGTTTCAGCTGTAAACTTATTACTAGGTAATTAAAAAACTGTGATCATGTCACCTCTTGTCTGCTTATTTAACCCAGTTTCTACTCATATGGCAGCCTTGCAACGCAGGAAATCAAGTTAGCTGCCTTTTTTCGTACTTCCCGACACATTTCTGCCTTATTTTAGGCAGGAACTAGTTGCTTGCATGGAATACATACGTTTGTAACGAATGGATGTTGTATGTAAAGTCTAAAAGATACTTGGTAAGCAGATGGCTAAATATTTAACATATTGACCATACGGCCACCGCGCGACAGTGTGAAGAGGTCTTCAAGTCTTGGCTAAAGATGACTCTTAGGTCTATGTATACCAGGAACAGATGGCCTAAGGTCATTCACTGTGCATTCATCTATACATTGGAGATCAATATGGATCGTGATGCACTTGGAAGAATCTATCAGAAACTGCTAAATTATATACAATTCAGATGAATCCTATAGGTTAATTTGAGGATCTAAACTATAGCCTACATATCTTATGGCTCTCCATATCTTGATGTCTTCAGCATACGACGAAACCGATTATGAAAAGAAATTATGTAGGTCATTTCGCACAGGAGGAATAATACTGATCCCACTTAGCACAATTTCTCAGCTGCGGAATTCTTCTAACCCTTTAACAACCTCACTTGAATTACACATAGATCAAAGCATATGCTATGGGGTTTTGAAATAACATTTACCAGTCCCCTCAGTAATCTAGGACACCTTTCATCAGGTCCTCTAGATTTACATTATTCAAGCTCATTTACACAGACCAAAGGGTTTTTTAATGATCATTATGTTGTAAGGAGGGGTTTGTATGAATCTAAGAAAATAGAACTAGTACTATACATACATTGGAGAGGTTATTTGATAATACATGAGCATTATCGTAATCATCTTACATTATTGATGAGGTACTACCATCTCCTATTATAATGATATGTTGCTTTTCCTCTTGGTCTTTTACTTTATGTACGAATATAAACCATCATTGTATTCCACAGACTCCCCAATGGGCTTTTCTTCATGTTATTTTCTAGACTTGTGTAGAGTCGAAGCGCAAATATTTCGAGCTTCTTGATATTGATATTTTATCACACCAGTAACCTAAGTTCCTCTAACATCCTTTCCCTATTACAGAGGAGGGTAGAAACCTTACTGAGCTATAGTGAGAAGTTTCTCAGGTTCTCCCATGTATTACAAAAAACGCGTAAGGCTACGACATTTTAATGTACAAATTTCTAAATACTCACAATCTGTTTTAATGCTGGGTTTTTGTGTTGTTGTCCAGTCAGTTGAGGACACTGAGTGAACAGTTTCCGTGGCGTCATCAATATGAGATCTAGTAAAGATGATTCGGGGTTTATCTCGTACTTAGTTGCCCTTTTCTTATGTTGCACAGGTAATGACCGCGTCAGGTGGTTTCGTTGGAAGAAAACTTCTGACAACTAAGTTCTTCGATTTTTCTGCCAATCGTTGGTGAGTTAGGTTCTCCTAAAATTAAATATCGGCCGATTAAATAACAAGCCTTTAATTCGCCTTGCGACAGTACATTTGTAATAGCTTAGGTTGTTTGTTTGAGAGTTGACCTCAAACAACCAAGCATATGTCAAAACAGTATAGTTCAAGTATTTATTCACTTCCTTATTTTGCATAGGCGTTATATTTATAGCATGAGGGTTACCTTAAGGCACGAAACATTCGCCTTACAGTTTGAACTGAGGCAAACCAAACTAGTTAGCAGCTCTTATCCTTTGCATTTCAGGCGAAAACTAATCCGAACGCTCCACCCTTATGGGATATGTTATCGATGGTGGTAAAAATAATACTGCTCCTAAAGACAAAGAATACTCCTCCTCCTTTACACTTCTGCGTTCTTTTAGCTCTTACCCATATGAGATTTTGAAGGACATGTCCTCTATTGTCCACAGGCTGGATCACCCAAATTTCGATGACAACGACCACATCCGGCTTGATAGGGTTTGTCTGGAAAAATCGCTGGGTTAGCTTGTTGGGCAAGTTCTGGGCATTTCTGAAACAAACAGGAAGTCCATTTAAGTGGCTTCTTGTTTCACCCAAAGTGACTTTGAAATCACTAGTTGTCGAAGTCTCATCATGTGAAATTTACACTCTTAAGAATTTTCTAACCAACAACTGATCTTAGCTTTAGTTTTTATATCTTCTTTTCTTCTAATTAGTTCGATCATGACGAACTCTTATCAAACCGGTTTCATTCTCAAGTCGAATTCTAAGGTCATGGCTATCGCTCTCCTTGACTCAATGAAAGATGATTGACCGTTCACTATGATCAGTCATCGATTTTGCAACTAAGATGAGAAGAGTCGCTGAAACATTGAAATCTCAACCTATCTGGTAGGTAAGTGAAATTATCGGGTTTAATCATGTTACTGTCTCGAAAGGAAGACGGACTTAATGTTTTCTTCATTTTCAGGTTTTTTATGCATCCATATTTCTCTTGAATTTGTCGATTTAGAGAGCGGAGACACCCTGGAGGCAGACCCTAGTTCATCAAACGGTGGGTAGACCCGTATACTATGGAGATTCAGTCCATTTTCGGCTTTGAACTCGCCCACCTTTTACACAGGATTTCATCGACTTGTTCGAAAGAACATGAGAAGATGTATTTTGCTTGAAATTATTTCCTATTATCTGATGCACCACAATCTACCATAGAATTATGTGTAGAGAACTAGCGATCTTTCGAAACCGTTTATCTTGAGGTTAGCTGGGATTGTACCGTTGGCAGTTCCAAGATATCGTGTCAGGAAATTCAAGTTGGCTTTTTAATAGAGGCTTGCTGCGTGCAAGCTGTTTTTAGATTTAAACCTCACGGTGGCTCTGCGGAGTTTGGTGAATATATTCTTATTTCACTTGGCGCAAGACCTTATTGCATACACTGTTATCAAATCTTTAGTTATTACAGAAAGTCAATAGCGGCATTTAAAATATGAATTACCAGTGATAAGAGAGTTAAATGTACGAAGTTTAGTCAAAATCTCGCCTAAGCCAGCGTCAATTTATTCGTTCATAAAAAATCAATGTAATTTCCCACTACCAATAGGTTTTTTGTGATTGATTATGTTTCAAAATTCCTTGTGTGTACTTCATCTAACGGACAGTAATTTTATGGATGCATTGTAAAATTTCTGAAACTGTGTTTGTGAAATTAGTATGCCTATATTTTGATGAGTGGTCTTTAGACTCTGTTTTGGAAACCTTAGTGAATATCACATCTTTAACGTTTATTGGTGAAGTCGTTATTGAGAAAGAAATACAACATCTCGTAATTTAACTAGTCAACATAGGGCGTAATTTATCGGCAACTGCCAACTTGAATGAATCTTAAGTACATAGTGCCTTCAGTGCTCCCTTCTTTCTAAATTTCGCACTTCATAGTTTTTCTGTCATCCTTTTTGCCACCAACTCTTAGTTCGGACACATTTTCGGAGAATAAATAAATATATAACCCTCATTCCGGGTAGTTTCTTTCCGCTTAAAACCCATCCGCTTCTATCGTTGGAATGGGAATCCTCTGATTGTCTCCCTAGTTTTATGAATGGGATTTGACAAATTTAATTTGAACATTCTATTTGGGGTCTCAGAATTTCCTTGGCACATTTATTGAGATTTAGTCATAAAACTTTACTGTATAAAATGAGAAATATCTTGCCTTGACATCGTGGCGTTTTTGGAATCAGTAAGTATTGCATCTTGAGATTAATCCACCTACTGTGACAGTAGATAAACTACCAAAATAAATAGTTCTGTAGGTCTTTGAAACTGGTCCTGACCTTATTATTTTTACTGGACGTACCCTGGCTGAAGGCGATCGTTCCTACATCCACAGCGAATCACAAATTCGTACACCGCGCTACTCATCTTCTGCAACTATCAACCGGCTTAAATTAAACGCTTCTGAACACATCGACAACCTTCCAAATATATCTTGAAACTCATTCATCGTTGACTTCTGATTTGACTGGGTTGGTATCCTTCGATTATAAGTGTCGGAAAGTTACGAAATTATTCATTTCGGGGATTCATTTTCTACTACGGATCACTGTCACCAAGTCTGATACATAGACTGAATAATAGCCAACTGATTGAAAGAAATCATATCCACATACTTGTAACGCTCATTTAGCTATTTTACTTCTCCACAATGTATAAATTACCGTCATCAAAGAGCCAACATCCAGGCGCAATCCAATGCCAATGTGTATACTAACCGAAGGTAACTAGATACACTGAAATAGAGTCAGTATTTAAAGTCGATACTACCAATTTGCCTGGAGGTATTAGTGATCAGTTGCTGATAGACACGTAAGCCAAAGAGCGAAAGTTTCTTACATTCCGTCCAAAACCATTTGAAGCACTTAAACCATTTGCAAATAAAGCTAGTTTCACGTTCGCACTTGCATTGGATAGGTATTAAATAACGTATTGATTAGCGGTAGTTTTGACAAACTTTGTTACACTACGAGATCCTACCCAAAACTAGCAAAATGCCGTTTATGCAAAGGAGAGTGTACAAAATGGACAAAATGCAGAAGGCAGAGGAAAGAATCAAGTCTAATCCCTGGGATATCGAGGCATGGAGTGTTTTGTTGCGTGATGCTCAAAGTAAGAAGATTGATGATGCAAGGGAAGTTTTTGAACGTATTGTTACACAGTTCCCGGTAGCTGGTCAGTATTGGAAGATTTATATTAATCAAGAGGTAACTTAAATGCTTTTTAGGTAACTTTTCAGATGAAAGCCAAAAATTATGAAAGGGTCGAAAAATTATTTCAACGTTGTCTAGTTAAGATATTAAACATTGACTTATGGAAAATATACTTGCAGTATATTAAGGAAACTAAAGGAAAGCATCAATCTTTTAAGTAAGGGATATACTTGGTCTGACCGTTTTTCACTTTAGGGAGAAAATGGCACAAGCTTACGATTTTACTCTGGATAAAATGGGCTTAGATCTTAATTCTTATTCAATATGGGCAGACTACATATCCTTTCTTCGTTCAACGTAAGTACTTTTTTCCCAGTTGTCTTAAGTGAAATAACTATGTGTATAACAGAGTGGGTTTTTGTTTGGATGTCTCTAACCTAACAAGTTGAACCTGTTCTAGTTTGGAAAACAACATAGAGTTGATCTGACTAAAATTACTAGTATTGTTCGAGCAACTGTAGACGTTTCAGGTCGAAGTTTTCGGTTCTTAGCATCTTGTGTTATAATGAGATTTTGTTAAATAAAAAATTGAGGGTTTCGATACCGTTAATCGACTACTGAGAAGTACAAAGTCCATCTGTCTGGTTCCCAGAAACCATCGAGGTATGTCATTAAATAGCTACCTATTTTGATCCCCTTAATTCAGGATACGGGTCGATAATTTAAGGTTTTCTAGAGTAGTTTTTATCCCTTAATTTGTAGGTTTTGTCCTTTAAGCCATTTTTACACCATCTCATTACTGTCATGTGAAGGAGCTTGAAGGTTGTCTAGGTTCAGTACAAATAGGTTTTGTTTGGATACTACCGAACTTACACGTTTCTGTTGTGAGTTTTATTGAGTTTCAGATATCCCATTCCCATGTCTTTTGAAGTAAAGCAGTGGATCGACATGATTCTGTTGGACATATTTTATGCAACTCATCCTCTCATGAATAGTTAAAAAAACGAAAGCCAATTTCCATATGGTCAGTTATTTATAGGAATATCACTTGATTCGAATCAACGGGTGTTAGTACTATGGATATAATCATTGGGAATCTAGAAGCTAGCGAAAATTCAAATAACCTGAATGTTAATTCAGCGGATTAGTGATACATATGTATGATCAGTTATTTAATGAACTATGTGTTAAGTGTACTGTAATTAATGCATTTCACCCTAATTTCACGAGACTTTATCTTGATTGGGTAGTTGTGAAAAGTATAGCATAACTGCGAACAGGAAGTTATGTTGTATTTTATGATTTTTGTATAGTCAAGTTCAAGGTTCATATGCAGAAAGTCAAAAAATAACTGCAACTAGACGTGTGTACCAACGTGCAATTGTTACTCCTATGCTTGGTATCGAAACTATTTGGCGTGATTATTGCATGTATGAAAACTCAATTAATCCTCTTATCGCGAAAAAGTTTACCGAGGAACGTAGTCGGGACTATATGAACGCACGTCGTGTAGCTAAAGAATATGAAGTTATTACAAAAGGACTGTCCAGGACTATGCCGTCAGTGCCACCCCAAAATACACCGTATGAAGCTAAACAGGTGAGTTCATATGGTATGTTCTAATTTTAATTAAGTAATTTGCCAGTTATTTGTGTAACAGCCACATCCGGAGGGGTAATAATATTACCTGGTTGCCCAGACTAAAGCAGATCAAACGGGATTCGAACCTGAGACAAAAGGTTGAACGCCATAACTACTAAGCTACCACATCACCATATGGTGTGTTAAAGTATTTACTGCAAGACTTCTCTATGACGTTTATAATTCCCTAATGGTAAAAGGACCTGAATATTTGTTCACAGACTTGAACCCTGCTTTGCAAGTTAGTTCTGGCTTACTTTTTAATTAGTAGGACCAATATGCATAAGAATTAGTCATGCTTTCACTGGTCTACAGTTCCTATTAGTCTGCGTTGTTTATATCCCTACTCAAATGCATGATGTCAATAAAAATGAGCGGAATAACATTAATCTATCAGACTGAATAACCTATTTTATCGTTACTCTACTCGTATAATAGAGGCTACACAAAATAGTTCAAAGCAGTTGTCTTCGATTACTTAACCAATAACTTGACCCGTAGTAATTTATCAGTGAAAATAGTTGGTCATTGTTATCTATTAGAAGTAATAAATTCACCAAAAGACTCATGAGTTCTAATTTTGAAGCGCTCGTTCATAAGTGATGTATTTGCAGGGTCTTTTCTTAACAAACCTGTATGAAAAATTTATTTGCAATATGGGTCTTAAAGTAAAGCAAGAATTTGTTTATCACCTTATGTCAATTCAAAGTAAATGCACTTGTATTAAATCTATCTGATATGACGAGATGAAAAGTCAAAATTACGTTCTATTACTCGTTATGATATTTGTCCATTATTTCCGTTTTAATTCAATGTGATAATTATTCAGTGTAGCATTCGGTTTTCTTTTCCCGTATGATATTTTATTCTGTATAACATACGATATTCTTGTATTAACATAAACTATACTCACCATATGATTTGTTATAACTGTAAGTATTTTCGATATATGTGATTTCGTACTAATTAATAACCAAAACGTGTGTACAAATCAATATATAAATGAATGTATTTTCGAATATTGTGGTAGTCGTGTTTTGGGTTTAGTAAACCTTCACTTGTAGAAGTCCTTGTGTTCTTACTTTCGCGTCTTGGGAATTGCATTGGTTCTTCGTTTTACAAGTATAAGTGATAAGCGATTCCGATATAACAATTAGCGACGAGCAGATATAACAATTGTTGACGTAGTCATAACAGTCGACCACCAGTCATAACACTATCAATTTATTGGGTAAGTTTTTTGACCGAAATTTCCTCCGACCACTTTGAAAATTAAGTTTCCAGCAGTTGCTCTGTGTGTAATCAGTCTTGGTCATACGTTTTTAGTTCGTTTGAAGTTAACACTCTGGTTCTTTCTAAATTTTTACACTGCTTTTTACTTTTCTTTTAAGGTCGAACTATGGAAGAAGTATATTCAATGGGAAAAAGATAATCCATTGAAAACAGAAGATATCATCACAGTCACAAAAAGAGGTTGGTAGTGTTTTTAAAAGTACCAGAAAACCTTTAGTAAAAGTAGTACTTGTTCTTGAGGTTAGGAACTTCATTTACAATCACTGTTTGATCTTCAATGACCTTAGATTTTCAGTCATTGGTGTCCGATCAGGGAACTTAGCCAGGGTCCTTCATATGCCCTAAACTGTATGTTCTCAGTCACGAATTAACACTAGGAAACCATTTATTTTTCCAACGATTATATATGGTTATTACTATTCATAATCTATAGTGATTCCCTTTTGCTAAAGAATGACTGGGACATAAAAAATCAAGCTGAAAAAATGATATATATTGGTATTTCCTTATTCTGAAAGGCTTTCACCAGCTCATTACTCCTAACCACTTTGATCATCTATTCTTGTGCAACAGTTTCTGTGTGAAAATCAGCATATTACGCTTTGGAGAGGACGGAACCAACCAGTAGTAGGGTTGTACAAAATACGGAGGATGATGGGAAATGAACTCAGTTGTGCTTCTTCGAAACATTGCTTGTATATCCTGGAACCACCGAGTAAGTAATACAATTGTTAGGAAACGGGTACTAGGTAAGGATGGCAAATCAGTTGATGAAGTAGTTGAACTTCATGGCTCAAAATCGTCTGCAATGGCGCAGGTGCATCCACTCTTTGTGTTCTCCCAAATTCTAATCTTCTAAATTCTTCATGTCCCTTTTTTACTCTTTCCAAATTTATTTCTCTAGATGGTAATCTTCGAGTAACATCTTCAAACCCTAATCTTCCTGATTACTGCCCATACTCTTACTATCTCTACCACTATGGGATTTGGATCGACAACTGCATCTTTGTGCTAATATGGTATGGCAACTCGAACTGATGTACGTACGTACGAAGTTCTACGTTGTTACTGTTTGACTGTGCTTCTGCGATCGATTTTGAGTCATCTCATTTAGCTTCTGTGACTGTAGACTAGGACTGTTGCATAGGTCCCACTCAGGAAGTTTGCGTCTCATCAGATAGTTCAGTCCAACCGTCAGTAACTTGGTGGTCTGATGGGCACTCTTGGCTTTTCTCCAACCTATCGTTGATAAAATTCTACAGATTTATCATTTGACTTACCATTCCTACCGAAAACCCAACAATCATTCTCAGATCAACTCACAAACGAGGATTTTTGTTGAAAAGGGTGATGAAGGCAATTTTAATAATAATAATAATATGAAAGCGCTAATTTAAATAAATCTCTTCAGCGTAAGAACTGTCGACGTGCTAATAAGCGGAAACCTAGCTGAATGTTTCATTAATTTTGTTATGCATTCAAGCATAGGTTGGTGCATGAGCTATGAATAATCATTTGGTATTGTAGCTAGATTAGGAGTTATGGTTTAATAGACACTGAGACATATTATAACCATTGCCGCTTGGTAACTACCGTATTGCTACGTTATCGGAAAGCCAACTTTTAAAACATGTCATTATTAGTTGCATAAAAGTTTCATTATATATATTTGTTTACTTTCAGTAATGTTTGCCTATGAACAATGTCTTTTATGTCTTGGACATCATCCAGATATATGGTATGAAGCTGCTAGCTACTTGGATCATGCAAGCAAAATTTTGGTTGAAAAGGGAGTACGTACTTATATACTTTGTGTGTAATATTTACCAATCATTTAGTAACTAATTTTTTCTGTGTATTGTGATTAAATAACACAAATCAACTTTATGGTTTTATTCCAGTATAATATACGCAGTTTTATTGTTACTTATTTGCCAAGTATTGGTGTACACACTACCATGCCTCACTTTTTATGTATGTGTAAAGAGTCTAGTATTAATATTTGGTTACAGGGACCGTTACGTAGTAGGATTTCAGTCCTACTCAAAATATGAATTATATATATGGAAGAATCGTGGTCGTCAAACAGTTTCGTTATATTTGATGAAAACCTTTTGTGTTTTCTGATAAATTTTCTACTTGTTGCCATTTTTTTGTAAAAGGATCAAACAACAGCTAGACAATTTGCCAACGATACAGCGGCGATGTATGAACGAGCTATTGCTTTACTCAAAACAAATATGATGTTATATTTTGCTTATGCCGATTATGAAGAAGGTCGATGTAAGTACGCAAAAGTTCATTCTATCTACAAGAAGTTAGTTTCATTGGAGAATATTGATCCGACACTAGTGAGTGAGACATTTTTCTTTTTGGTTTTTTATTTATTTTCTAAGTTTACTTTGTTATAAAGTCGGCAGTCAACTATCATGATTAAGCAGTCTAGTTTTTGATATCATTCACTACAGAGAACATTAGTTAAGTTCTTCTTTACATTTATGAAATTCCCATCCACTCGCCGGCATTTTTGTAAACGTTTACAGTTTCTAATTAAGCTAGCATAACATGTTGTGTTTGATATTGCACTGTAATCAAACTCTATTTGCAACCTTCTCCACGTTCCAGTTGAACATTTTTCTCGAATTATCACTGTTTAAATAATTTACAGCATATTATCAGCCTTTATAATTTGTGTAAATGCTTTCCGGAAATTGATTAGTGTATTTTTCATTATAGCCGTAATGTAATCAGTATGTTGAAGGTTTTCATAAACTCATATCAAATAAAAAAAAACTTGAAAAAAGTTTTCAACTGCAACTGAAGGTGACAGATGTTCACTTAGAACATGCTTTCAGTGTAATTGATAATCAGTCAATACAGATAATGTGAACAAATTATTCCGAAATCGAGGTTGACCTATTCTAGTAAATGGAACTTCGTCTTGCTTTTGAATCATCCTTTTGTCTTATGGAAGAGTGAATGCATTTCCTCAGTTAAATGATATATATTATCGTGCTAATGAGTGAAGTCACTTAATATTATGGCTATGTATGAATATTTAGTATAATTGTAGTAGTACAGAAATAATGCACCTCACTTACCAAGATAAGTTTACCTACTCGGATTTGAGCTAAGCACTTAGTACTTGTGGTACCACCCTTTGACTCTCCAAACAGAAGTAACTAGAGCGGTATTCGGACCTGCCATTTGCTAGATGAAGGCTAAGTGCTTTTCAATCTCTAAGTTACTGCTTCATGTAAGGTTTTTACTTACGATGCCTGACTTATAATTGAGGGTATGTGAATATGTATCAGTTCTTTACATATTTAACTAATATTTAATATTTTTATAATTTTACGAATTGTCATCTATATAGTTGTATATTAATTTTGTTGTGAAGAGAAATACAGGTTGACTGTATAATCTAAATTATGTTCTTTAATTTATATTCTAGCCTTATATACAATATATGCGATTCGCCAGGAGAGCTGAAGGCATAATGTCTGCTAGATATGTGTTTAAACTAGCTCGTGATGATTCACGCATTACTTATCATGTTTACTGTAGTGCTGCATTAATGGAATATTTCTGTAGTAAAGTAGGTGTCTTTTGTTCTCCTTTTATAAATTTGCATTTTATTGTATGTGTATATGTGGTCCCCAATAAATACTCGGCAATTCATCATCACGCTTTTGTTGAAGCTTGGGAAAAACTCCTAGGTAGTTTATGAAATATGTTGGGTTTTTTCAATAGAGTTAAAGAATAAAAGTGAATCAAACATCTCAAGGAGAGTCATCACTACTGGGAGTATAATACAAATCCAAAGGGAACATCAACTTCCTGTGTTAATGAAAATATTGAATGTATGTTATCCTTTGTGCTTTCTGTTAACTGATTCACTATTCTTATGAACTTAATTTGGGAAAATCGTTTACGCAGACGGTCCTAAAAATACTTGCAGTTAAAAAGTTAGGTCTCTAAAATGCTTGCCTTGATAGGACTTCAGGCGGTATTTCAAATAATGGGAATGAGGCAGTTATATTGTCGCAAATGAAAAGCATTTCAAAGGGTATCGAAATGATGTACCCTGTAGCGTTTCTGTAACTTGTGGTCGCATATGTTACTATTTGGCTATTAAAAATAAAATTCATTATAATTATAAGAATAATTTCGATAATGATTTTTAGGAATCCATCTAGTGTTTAGTGATGTAACGACATAATTATCCTCCATCCCACTGCACTGCCATTAACCGGCCATCTTTATATGCTTTCTTCAAAAACAGTGCTTATTATGAAGACTACTGGGTTGACACAATCTCCGAGACCAATGTTTCAAAATCATCATGACAACACCTACTGAATGATGACCCTTATACATGTTGAGTACATTGTATTATCTATTTGCATATAGAAGACATTTTTTAGAAGAGTAAAATCATTAAACATGGGAACTCATATTTTGTCCCATATATTTTCCCGTGTAAACAGTTCGAACTGTTGCTAATTCATCCTACGTCCATTATTTGTTTTCTATTTTCTAGTAACTTTTCCTGTTTGTTTATTTGTTCTTTTCCACTTCATCATACTAGGATAAAACTATTGGACATAAAATATTTGAGTTAGGCATGAAACGTTTCGGTGGTATTGCGGAATATGTATTGTGCTATGTTGATTTTATGGCACATTTAAATGAGGATAATAATATACGAGTGTTATTTGAACGAGCTTTAGGATCAAATCAAATTACACAAGAACGTGCACGTCTTATATGGGCTAGATTTTTACAATTTGAATCACAGGTAACTGGATAATTTTTATTCAATATTTGTATTCTACATATTCTTGTTATAGAAAGTAATTTACTCATGTTACCTACATACTTTAAAATCTACAGTAATTGAATTTAAGGAAATAAAACCATTCCCCAACTGATTATAATTTTTTGTGTAGGAGTGAGGCGGGTTATGAAGTGTGCTGAATATGTAATTTTACATGGTGGATTAGTTTCATTTAGACGACCATAGGAAACCGAGAAACAGTGGGTATTTATTTTGTTATAGCATGGGATTGTTTAACAGACAAAATCAACATAGGACGCACAGATGTGCGATCGCAGTGGTCGTTCATGACTCCACTAAAGATCGAACCCAAGACCTTCAGGCCTCACGTCAAGCGCTTAACCTTTAAATTAATAAATTTGGTTTGGAGCTATTGATGTTTGATTGGAGTTTGAGTGTGTACACCATCATTGGGGAACATTTGCATCGCATGTTTAGAACCTACTGCACCTAATGTTGCAGTTTGGATGACAGGATATTATCAGTAGTCCTCGCACAAATAGTGAAACTTAATGCCGAAATTATTATACATGCACTCAACAAATGAGATATATTAATTTTTAAATTACTTCCTTACTGTTATTACCATTATTTTACTGTTTTTTTTTCTCAACAGGTTGGTGATTTGGCTAGTATTCTGAAAGTGGAAAAACGACGTTTACAAGCATTGGATAGTTCGAAAGAATTTTCAAGATTAGAAACCGCACTTCTGATTGATAGATATCGTTTCCTAGATTTATTACCATGTACAGATTCAGAGCTTAGATCTTTGGGTTATCGAGTAAGTGTATGTTCACCTGTTTATTTTATTTGTTTTCTTTTAGAATTGATGATACTATCACTTTTTGTGTGATGTGAATACTATTTAAAACAATTACCATTTAATTTACTTTATAGGAACTGACTCGCTTTCAGCTGGCTGGAATTGGCAAAGGGTATGATGATATATTGTGCGGTGTGATCTCTTCCCATGGAGCTGCTGGGGTTTCTTTAGGATCCACACTATCTGGTGTCTCTGGTGGTAGTGCAGGCGTAGTCGTAGGTGATGCTCTTGGTTCAACAATCAATGGAACTGACCCAAGGCCAACTTATCCGCAGCCTGATGTCAGTCAGATGTTACCATTTAAACCGAAAGCTTATCCACGTACTGGGAGTCACCCAGTAGCTGGTGGTGAATTCCCACCACCACCGGCTGCTTCCTCTTTACTGAAACTAATTCCACCGCCACAATGTTTTCACGGTCCATTTGTTGATGTAGATAAATTTTTGGAACATTTCCTAGAATTGGAAATCCCTGATGGTAAGTGGATTTAAATATATTGATCCGTCATTACAGCAAATGGAAATTTATTTAATAATTATCATTCATCCACTGTTTTATTATTTTACCATTGTTTAAACCTATGCTGATATATCACATCTCAGACCATAGCTTACAAACCGTTAAAAGTCAGGAGTCGTTGGACAGTTATTTATCCTAGTTTGGGACTCCGTATTGGGTTAGCTTTGTTGTGCTAATTGTATCATTTGTGTTTATGTACTATTTGTAGACAAAAAATAATAATGTCTATCGTTTTGTAAAGGTCTGTCACAAGCTAATCAATCAACTTTTTCGTCGGTATCATTTTGTGAAATTATCGAAACTATCACATACATACTCTTATTTACATGCAGCAGCAATTTACTTATTTATCTACTTACTCCTGTTACCCCTCGTGCAGAATAGGCCTTTGACCAGCATTCTCTAACCAACTCTGTCCTTTCCAGTTTTTGCCAAGTGCTATTCATTCTTCTGAAATCTGTGTCCGATTCCCGGAGCAATATATTCCTTAGTTTGCCTCTTCTCTATTTTCCCTTGAGGATTCTAGGTTAGTACTAACCTCGCAATGGAGCTCGATGTTTTCCACAATGTATTTCTTCTCCACCTCTAGTGTCTTTCCTCGATTTCTTCTTCATCTAAAGGCTGGTTTGTTCTTTGCCACAGTAGGTCCTTGGTAAATATGTCTGGCCAATGGATCTGGAGTGTCTCATATAAACATCGGTTTATTAATGCCTGTCCCTTTTTGATGAGTTATATTAGTTCCCCCGATTTCTGTTCCGTACCATGGGACTGTCTTGGCGTTTGTGTTAAAAAATTCTGATTTTGATGTTGACTGACAGTTGTTCTGAGTTCCTTAGTTGTGGGAATAGTACGCTTGCTCTTAGCAGTCTGTGCCTTCACATATGAATCAGATCGCCTTTGTTTACCAACTATAGTGTCCGGTTATGTAAAAGTTTACACCTCTTCCAGAGCATCGTCATCAAGTGGGATTTCGTCGACGCTCACAGTATCGTGATTAGGGGTCTCGCTTTTTCCCTTGTAAATGTCTGGGCCTACTGTTGCAGAATCCGGTGCTACACGGGTTATCTTCACCTTCATTTCTCGCTGTTTATGAGACGATTTTCTTAGGCACACCATAGTGTCTAAAAAGCTTTCATATGGCTCTCCTATCCATTCAGTCAAATGATTTCTCATGTTCAACGGTGATCCGTTATGATAGTAACTAAAAAGTCACAAGTCGATCACGACCGAATAACTGTTTCATGAAGATATTTAGTCTAGGTTCAAGTGATATGATACATGCTCTTACATAGTTTTCGTATATGGAAAGAGGCACTAATAGAGGTAGATTCCAATTCGTGGTGGAAATATTTCCACGAACCATCATTTTGTCTTGTAATGCCATTATGTTTACGGAAATACTGTTTCTGTACAGTTAAAATTTTTTTAACTTGAGCTTCTGTTGTTTGCGTAATAGTTGAAAACAGAAAACGAATATAGACTCACTTCAGTTTCTTGTGTGATCATTTTAAATTCATGTTTCTCGATGAAATATTTGATCAGTTTTAATTACTATTATCATTATTTACCCGTTAAAGTAAATCTGTTGACAATTATTCTGTGTCTTCATTCTGTCAAGATTATATGGAAGTTGTTGCAGGTGAATCTGAAGAATTAGCTACAAGTATTGACTCTGGTACAGCTTTATCCATTGAATTGGCTAGTACAGCGACTTCCGCTGCCCCGCTTTTATTGGCTGCTCGTAAACGTCGACAGCAAATAGCTTTAGATAGTTTAGCTGGACATGGTAACCGTGCTTCTGTGGCTAATCAATCTAAATTGCGTAAACGAACAAATCTAAATGCCTTTGGCGACTCTGAAGATGAAGAAGAAGAGGATGATGACGATGATGATGATGATGAAGATGAACGTGCAGCTGCCTTATTAGGGGGTCAGATTCTTGGCTCTGGGTCAGAGTTAAGAAATCCTTTGTCGGCTGCTTCTCTCGGCTGTAATGTACCTATGGATTTATATAGGTTACGGCAAATGCAAAGAGCTAAGTAACGTATTTTTAACGTTTTCCTCCTTTAAGGGGATTCCATTTGTATAAAGTTTGTATTCCCTTTAAAATATTGATAAGTTTTTGTAATTTGATCAATAAATGTTTCCTTATTTAGTTTCACTTTTGCTGGTTGTGTGGTTCAGCTACATTTCCTGTTCAAATAGACTTACATTAATTTACTGTGTGAAATAATTGTATCGAAGACGAAAATGATCTTATTATCTTTATTGATAAAGTTCACAGAAAGTATGATTGTTTTTAGTTTCATGGCAGTCTAATTGTTTCCATTCCATATACAGGACTAACCTGTTAAGTAAATGAACCGAATGAGTGTAAAGTAGCTCAGTTATGTTGCAACAGATAGAAGCTGATACAAGGTGTTTATTATAGTGATGGACGAAAAGTTGAAGCAGTGAGTATTTCTTTCGAGGATAGAAATATTATAAGATACGGTCATTTGCGTTGCTAGGATAATAATTAAGTCAGTAATGTTTCGTCGTTCAGTGATGCTTCAACTCCATAGTCCGATCAGCGTTGGCCTGAGATCTTAGTTGTGTATATGGTAAGGTAAAATACCAGGCACTAAGAGCGTGGTCAGGAGAATCAAATGGTGTATAGCGCTTACAATGATATTCTACGAATGTTTGTTACATGGTCTAACAACGAAGAATTGACTTGAACTCTCAACACTACTTTCAACAAGCAGCTACATCAGGGATGACGGGAGTACAAAGAGACCACTACAATGGTGCTGATCATAGAGCTAAATGCGAACCTTGTAGCATCCCACCAGGATCTGTAAATAATGATGTGACATGAAAATCCATGAGAGAGCTTATATCCTTTTTATTATTCACATTTGACTAATCAATCTGAATGAGCGTGCAAATTATTGGTCCACCGACTGTTGTTGTAATGAATCCAAGAATGAGGAATAACATACGTTCTAGAAATTTTTCAGTGACAGACGGGACACGAGTTATTGCAAACCAGTTGCACTCCTTGTCCTACAGCAGAACAAAAAGGAAAGGCTATTTAACGACTAAGTGAGTGAAAATCAGCAGTAAACAAGTCTTAAACCACAGTTCTCTACGTTTTTGATATTGATGGTGACCTCATTATTTTTACTAGACACAACCTAGCTGGAGGCGCTTAGTCACTCATTCGCAAAATATCACTGTTTAGCACTCCATGCTATGAATTCCTTACAACTACTAGCCAGCTAAGATCTAACTGCTGCAATACTAACTACTTGTTTGATTGGGCTTTTTATCTTTCGATTATAGGAATGTTACAGATAAAAGTTTTGTGAAATCCTGAATATCCGTGACATCTTTAAACATACAAAATAAATCTTCAAAGACATCACAATATTGTAAGCGCGGATTTTTTCGGCATTATATGTACCCGTCGTCGTATAGAGGTTTAAAAGACTTCAAGATGGTTGTGATATGTTATTATTAACATGTATAAAACAAATAGAGCAGGAGGTCCCGATTTAAGCACACAAACTTCTAAACATAAAAACGTTTACCTCATAAAGGCGATAAATGCATAGATTAAGACAAACCTGGAGATTCATCCTATTACTCTTGTAAAACAATTACAAAATTAAAAATAAATATGTAGTTAAACACAAATATTGGGTCCTACGCGGGTGTTCGGTCTGACGAAATGCTGTCAGTCTGGAGGGGAACAGACATGGTTTAAACATCATGGGAACAAATATATTAGAATGGGAAAGCATATATCAAAAAATCCCGCTAGGAGTTGAATTCACTACTTGACCCTATCAAATATGTGACCCTGAGCCTTGGACGACCACTTTTGACAGCGTCGTTCGTAACCACGTATACAGATATTGTTATGTGATAAAAAGTGGTAATAAACAAAATTAACTCGTTGAAATCATGTAAGTGGTTTATAAACATTTTTGGCGGGCATCTCGGTCTGTACCATAAAATTTACATTTATCAACTGCTGTGAATGACTTCTGCAACATAGACAAACTGGTATCTGTTTCTATGGAATCCAATTGTTTGTACAGAAGCCAAGATATGGTGGCACTGCATTGAATACGGAGAGTGAAATAATCGGTTTTATACACTAATAATTTGGTCGGCGTGATATGTATATTACGGTACCAAAAATATATTCCCTAATGCCACTCAGAACCGGGTTGTTGTCGACCTTGTAGATGTTTATGTCAAATGAGTCATAACTATCGCTTATTATCAGAGCAAAGGAATATATCTAGGAGTATATGTGGTCTATTGGCAGTGCGTGGCTCAGTATTTATTGCGGGACAGTACTTCTGTCTACAAAACCTGCATAGACTACGCTCCACCAAAATCCTGTTAGGATATAACAGTTTGACAGCTTTTCGAGGTCAGGTTTCAGTAATGTAAACCATCCCTGGTTTTCACTAAAAACTTTTGTGTAGTGATCTGAGTTTCTCACCATTAGTGTATAACACGTATAATTTGCAGAATTATTATTTTGACTCAAAATAAGGTTGAAGTACCTCCAGGTTTGGACCGAAATCGAGATAATCAGTAAGCACTAGAGAATATAAGGTACTCACTCGGAAAGTCTTACGTCAAAAATGGGATAAGACAACGCAGAACCATCCATTGTGCTGATGGTTTAAGGAACTGTGGTGTTGGCTAATTTTGTTGGACAGGTAGACGACGAACTTAAACATAGTCTGCACAAATGTACTTGATGGTTGCTAGTTTTAGCAGTTTTTCGCCTCGAAATAAGTTCATTGTAGCGGTAAATTAATCCGCAAAATTAATAGCTCTGTAAATCTCCGACATTGGATGCTGACCACATTAATTTTAATGGGCTCACATAGATGAATGCGCCCGGTCATGCATCCGCAACAGATTATGAGTGGAAACGCCGTGCTCAACATCCCCTGCAATCGCTGCCAGATTAAATCAGACGATCTTCAGTGCCTCCAGGTTTTCCATGGCAGTCTAGCTACAATTGACACATGATTTCAACTATTGAATCCAAGTATATGTCAAAACAATAGAGTTCATGTATTCATTCACTTCCTTATTTTGTATAGGCATTATGTTTCCTATTATCGTATGTTGAATGTTGAAAAGCTCTGTTTGAATGAACAGGGAATCTCATGCTCCACTGTGACTGCGCAAAGATCTATTAAAGACCTGTTCACTAATTGTCTGGTTTCTTCTATCAATAACAAGAGGGTTACCTAAAGGCACGAAACTGGTGAGCCCTGTGAAGTACAAATTTGATTTCATTCTTTATCATAAAATTTATTTTTTAATCAGTTGTAAAAATGAACCTTCTGATTATCTGTAACCAAAGTTTGGTATACATATTTATAAATAGTATTTTATCTTAAAATATTCGTGTAGTAGTGATCATTTTTCATGCTCATTCTATAACTATTTTGGTCATATATCTTATGTCAGACTCAATACAAAACCCAAAACCTGGAGGATTTATTACCAGTGGAGATAGAAACTGTTATGACTGCAAAATTCCGACTTCTAGAATTTGATCGTAGTGACCCTGAGTTACGGTTTGCTCAAATAGAGCATTATCTTACGAGACACAATATCAAATCTGAAGGAATTCGTTGTAGAGACTCGTGTTCTATCCTTCCACCTCTAGTCGCCAAAAAAGTCTGTGACTGGATTTTAAGCCCACTACCAACACAACTATACACCATGTTAAGACGAGAGATGATGAACCGTTTATCATTATCAGACAGTCAAAGAATACAAAGGGATTTTCAAGGAAAAGCATTAGGTTATAGGTCACTGTCACAGTTTTGACGTCACCACCAAGTCTTAGTGAGTGATAGCACAGTGACTGAAGCAGTTTAAAATAAGGATGGATACAAGCTCTCTAATGCTACATCAAACACTGTTTGGATGCACAAGGTCCTGAAACCTCCTTATCTCATTTAGCGCGTATAGCTGATAGAATAATGGAAAGAGGTCCTCCAAATGGATCACACACGATAAATCACACACAAAAAGAAGAACCAGCAAAAGACCTAGTCATAGAAGAACTCATTGAGAGTGTTAAAAGTCTCACTGAGGCTGTCGTCAAAATGCTAATGGGTCATAGAAACAAGAGCAGGTTACCACAAAGACCAAGATCGAAGTCACAAAACAGGTCACAAAAGTCCAGACAATCTGGGCAGTTCTGTTGATATCACTGAAAGTTTGGTGTCAACTCAACCAAGTGCATGCAACCATGCTCCTGGCCTAAGCGAAATTCCAAGAAAGCGGGAAACGAGTAAACCTTCCCCGGGTAGTGACGACTGAGGAGGGGCACCCAAACAGTCGCGTGTTTTGTGTTAGAGGCAGAAACTCCGGCCTGAATTTCTTGGTAGATACTGGCACTGCCCTTAGTATCATCTCTCGAAATAAAACTTGGCTGGGTCGAGAAACATGCCCAATTACAATTCAAGCTGCTAATAAAACTAAAATTGCGACATTTGTGCAGAAAACTTTAGCGCTAGATTTGATGTTCAGGAGGCAGTTTCCCTGGGATTTCATTGTAGCCGATTTAGATCTGGCAATACTGGGGATGGACTTTCTAGTGAGATATAAATTTCTAGTTGACACTAAAAACCGACGCTTAACTCTGAAAGGGACTTTGAATTACACAAAAGGCAAAAAAGTGCCACATCACATCTCAAATTGATACAAACTTCTGCAGTAACAACAGCAAAATTTCAAGATATACTCGTGGAATTTCGAAAAGTAAGTCATACGATGAAAATCGAAGGTGCACTTGTGTTTGCAAGACCCAGGAGACTAACACCAGATAAGCTCAAAACCGCTAGAGCTGAATTTGATTACATGCTACATCTGCGTATTATCCGTCCCTTTGATAGTCAGTGAGCATCCCCTTTGCATGTGGCTCCAAAGAAAAATGAAGGCGATTGGCGTCCGTGCGAGTATTACAGAGCCCTCAGCCATCAAACCGTACCACATAGGTAACCAATACCGCATATTCAAGATTCCACAAACGGTTTACAGGGTATGAACATATTTACTAAAATTGACTTAGGGCATATCGTAATATCGCAGTAGCTGGTGAAGATATCCCTAAGACAGCTATTACTACACCTTTTGGATTTTTCGTGTTTGTAGGCATACCATTCGGCCTGAGGAATGAGACACAAACATTTCAAAGATTCATGGATATCCTACTTCGAGATATGCCTTTTTCACAGAGGTCTATAGACGATTTGTTAATTACCAATTCCGATTTACAATCACATGAACAGCATGTAAGAGCAGTCTTAAAACGGCTGGATGAAATTGGAATGAACATACATCAAAATAAGTGTGTTTTCGGTGTCCGGACTCCAGTATTTCTCGGGCACACGATAAGCCCAGAACGGATTACGTCTATCAAACAAGAAGTGGGCACCATCAAACAATACCCCATACCTAGTTCTCTAACACAACTGAGAAGTTTTCTAGGTCTAATTAACTTTTATCGCAGGTTCATACCCGGCTGTGCACAACTGACGCTCCTCCACTCATCCTACTTGATATTCACGATGCAGTGAAAGCTGACGTTGGATACACTGTAGCTCAACTCGTTTATGGAACGACACTTCGACTTCCTGGAGAATTCCTGGATCCTCCGTTTTCTTCAATGAACATGGCTCAAACTCATACACGAGAAGGCTTACGAACGCAACGCGTTCAGTTAAATCTGTTTCCACTGGACCCCAGTCAACTGATGTTTTCGTCCAACCTGACTTACGATATAGTACACACGTTTTTTGTACGTAGAGACTTACATAGACAACCTCTGGAAACAGCATATGAGGGGCCCTTCGAAGTTCCCCAACGCGAACCCAAGTACTATTTAGCCAGTCACAACGGAACCAACGATAGCATCAGCATCGATCACATCTAACCAGCGTATTTAGAAATAAACCCTATCCATGTCGATTTTCCTTCGGTACAATCGAAAGACACGAGTCCTACACTTACGATAACTCATTAATGCGGTAAGAATTGATAATAGAATAAGAGTTCGTGCAGTAATATTATTGAATGGTGAGATGGATGTTCTAATTGATTGCAAAGATTAATCGCCAAATGCTAATTTGTCTAGGTCATATTTATGTAGTGAAGATGAAATGAGTCTGAAAATTCAGTTGATTTAATTAAATGCAAAGCAAGTTTCTGTGTTTTTAATTATGAACTCTGGATGGATGGGAATAAAACTTATTAGGAGGAATAGGTCAAAGAGGGATAAAAAGAATGCCTAATGTTTCAGGAATAATAAGAGTAATAATAAATATGAACATAAGTGAACTTTAGATATTTACTTGAAAAGAAAGAAATGAACAAACAAAAATTCTAAGGTTTCATATTTAACAATCAATGAAATAAACAGCAGATCTTTCTTATATAAATAATTAGTGATCACATTGATACAAAATAAGTGGCACCAACCACTTTCGGAGAGAAAATCATCAAGGAGGTTTTTGAACCACGTTATTGTCTCACTGCAATTCATTATTGCTGGGAGTCTGTTCCACATAGTCGAATGGCAAATAATGAAGGAAATCCGATGTACGTTTTGTGGG